TCGCTAATCCGGTCAAAATCGGTTGATTCGTTCGAGAGATATCGTGAACGAAAGAAAACCGAAAAAAGTGTTTTTTCGGGATTACTCCGAAATTTTTAGTTCGATCAATTAAAACCTGAAAATAACTTATGAGGATGATAAAACTGCGTTGAATGGCGTCAACCGCGTGAAAATTGCTTGATCTATTCAAAAGTTATTGCGGTTTGAAAATTCCAAAAATAGTGTTCTATGAAACTTCTATCAGACTTTCGAGCTGGGAGAGCTCAAATGCATAGAAATATTATTTCTTTGTACTTAGCGAGCTCAAAATATCACATAAATTATATTTTGAGCTCAAAAATGTCATAAGTACAATTTTAAGCGCCCAGGAATGGAATTAGCGGGAAGTTGCAGGTATGGCCTTTAAGGTGAACCGTTTTTCTAATTTTTTTTTTGTCAGATCAGACGAATCCCTCTAGATAATCGTCAGATTATGAGACAGTACGATTAGAACATAAAGATGAACCATATATATCTTAATCTGACGCGCTTGAGTATTTCAAAATGGCAATTTTTTTTTGCACATTATGAAAATGGCCGCGAGTTTGCGTCCCATCGAAATCGTCAGATTAGTGAATGAGAGCTTTTTTTTGGTGCACTTAACACTCCCTTAGAAAATCTGACGCGCTCGATGAAATTTTTTTTTTCATTTTCAACCCTTAAATACAACCACCCGCATCATGCAAACGATCAGATTAACATACGTACATTATTAAAAATACGTAGGGCATTGATGCTATCAATATCTGACGCGCTCGAGGATGTCTATGCAACAGTTTTTTTTACATATTTAAAAATCTATAGCCGCTTCCCCCACCGATGTAAAGGTATATATCATATAACATTTTTTTCTTCTTATCATCTAAGCTTTGCATCCCAATAGGTCTCTACGACGCTCGAGTAAATCCCCATTTAGCATCGTGGGCTCCCCTACTATTAGATTCGTCTTGATAACGCAAGTGACACAGGATATATATAAAAAAGTTAAAAATTATAATGGCGGACTTCAGGCGCCAATTTGTGTTTCTTTAAAAAAACCCTGCCAAACCAATCGCGTGGGTTATCAAAATAAAGGTTTATAAGAGGCGATCACAAAAATATATAAAACTTATATACGAGTATTTAAAAATAGTTTACTATTTACGCAGTCGGATTTTTTTATTTGATATTTAATAATATTTGTATAGATGTATAATAAGACGAATCTAGCAATATTGAGTTATATAAATTGGTTAAACTGTTGAGTAGGTGATTACGAGGGAACATGGAATCGAGCAAACATACATACATACAGATCAAACACAAAATCCTCCCTTGGGCTGCGCCATAGTCATGTAAAAATATATCATTTACTAAAGGATGCATCTTACATAATTATGTATTAAACATTAAATCGATGTAAAGCGTCTTTTAAACCTTAAGCTTGCCTTTACTCGTGCGACGACTCAAGTATCATCAATCATGTTATACACGGTTTGTTCGTAAGTGTCGTAGAACGAGTAAATAATTTTCTAATCTATTCCACTACTCATAAAATTCAAATTTAATAAAAACTCGCATTTTTCAGCTCAGATTTTCTGATTTCGATAACAGCATAGTAATTAAAATTTAAAACCACTTAAAGGGTCTTTCATTTTTTCAAAGTAGCGGCGTGTGGTGAAACTGGAATTTATGTATCGACAACATTTCATTATGTGAAAAATATCGAGTAATATTTTGCAGGTAATAATGGAGGTTGGAAAAACTTTAAATATTTAATTATTATATATTAGACTAGCAACTCACCCTCGCTTCGCTCGGGTTTGTCCCAAGGATGCTGCTCCATACGAACTTTCATCTCCATTTTTACCCCTTTAAGGGATGATTTCCAGGATTAAAACTATTCTATGTCGTTTCCAGGGTCTCAAACTATCTTCTTACCAAGTTTCATCTAAATCAGTTCAGTAATTTCGGAGCTTAGTCTGTACAAACGAACAAATAAACAAAAAAAACTTTCCTCTTGATAATATTAAGTACCTGGGCCACCGAGCTTCGCTCGGAGTTTTTGGTTACAAAGTACAATTTTCTTAAAAAAAACTAATAACTTGAATAAATACAAAAAAAAAACAAAAATAAATTATACCTTTGTATCCCACCGGGATTCGAACCCGGACACCTATGATTGTCAATCTTGCGTCTTTTTTTAAAGAAAACTAAAAACTTGAATAAATATTAAAAATAAATAAAAGTAAAAACTTTGTATACGACCGAGATTCGAACCTGGACACCTGTGATTGTTGATCTTGTACCTTGTTCTTATTTTATGGTTTGGCCATATTTTGCGTGGAATAACAAAATAAAACTCCATGAAAACTCGAAAACACGCGTTTTCTCAGAAATAAGACTAATGTAGATCGATTTATCACCCCCGAAACCCTCTGTGTGCTAAATTTCATGAAAATCGTTGGAGCCGTTTCAGAGATTCAGATTATATATATAAGAATTGCTCGTTTAAATATATTAGATATAGTTAAGCCGCATGCATACACTTCAATAAAACACCAAATTAAAATTGTTTTCTCGGGATTTTAACGTTACTTTCTCCTAATGTGTTTAACTAATTTGTACTATTAATAGTACTAAGGAAGAGAAATGCTGATTTAAAAACATCATCAATTTAAGTCGATGTTTTTACTAGAGCGTGTTTAAAAAAGTTTGAAGCAAAGAGTGTGGGGGTCGTTATATTATAAATGCAAAAGGTACCTAGGGATAAACGAGCGAATCGAAGCTATAAAATATAATCTGATTTTTTCAAATGCAATGTGGTGCAGAGGCTAGCGCGTTCCAACAAACAAACAAACAAACAAAAAATAAAAAAACGACGAATATTTTCAAATTTATAATATTAGACTAAAGACAAGTACTATTTATGCGAAATATAAAATTTAAACATAATAGATATTAAAGTTCCACATTTTTGTTATTTAGTAAAATGTCAGTATTTCTCTTTAGAAATTATTTTAGATTCATTAAGTTATACAATTTAAACAAAAAGTCTTTAATTAAATACATTTTAATATTCTTCAGAAACTAAGCTAAGTAAGTTAGAGTAAATTTGAAATTTAAATTTGTTGGCATATTTCAGAATTTCTCAGTGACCTTTCTACCTACATTTATTCTTAATGAATTGTTTGATATACTCATAGAATCGTAAATCTTACGTTACGAATAGGTTTAGAAATAAAACAAATGAAATAGTGCACTCTGTTATATATTGGATTCCTTCCCATTCATCTATCTACCTATATTTTATTTGAATCTGGATTTAGAAAAGTTCACCTTTATATTATAACATATCTACATAAATTTTCAAAAAATACGAATAAAATTTAAATAAGTAAGTATTTCTATGTTACGAGGACATGTTACGAGTATCTGATTTGGACTTAACTGTTAGAGAAACGCTGAAAATAGTCTACCAATGGAACTTTTGCTAAAGCAATGACTTCAGTTGCAATAAAAAAAAATTAGGTACATAAAAAATCCAACTGTGTAAAATAGCAAACTAAAAAATGAAACAAAATTGACGTGTTTTTAGAAATCCTATTAATCTTAAACACAGGAACACTAAATAGATTTCTTAAATATAAAATTGTAAATAAATTATAATGATAGTAACCCAAATTAAATAATTTGAAATAGTTAAACAGTAAACATAATATAATATTTTTTTAAATTGTAAAGTACTTTGATGACATTTCTCTTTTCTTCAAAGTTAATACATAACTTTGTGGGTGTTTGTAATAACTATATAACTTTTGAGATATCAAAAATCTTAGTCACTTTCGTGATAATACATTCGAAGAATCGGGGATCAAAAATCAAAATAAATCCGCGAAAAAAAACAAAATATATCTTTATTTAAAATATATTACCAAAATATTTTTTATAGCAGTACTAGCATTGCCCGCGGCTCCGCCCGCGTTCAGATAACCAAAAACCAAATTCTTAGGTTTACATATTAGTATACTCTTACATTGCAGTTTTTGTATTTTTTCTCAGAAATGAGATATTTTTTCGCGGTAAAAAGTATGCTATATGTTGACCCGGATAACCAGCTATCATCATACCAAATTTCATCAAAATATGTCCAGTGGTTTTCTCTTGATGCGGTAACGGACAGACAGACAGACAGGCAAAAATTCTAAAAACTATAGATTTGGACTCTGTATCGATAATAATGTCTATTTCAATTAAATTTTCCAAAAAATATTTAATGTACAGATTCGACTTAGTTACAATTTTATTATATGTATAGATTTCGACAGAATACATGAAAAATCTCAGATATAACTTTACTGTGACAGCTTTTCACTAAAACACCTTATTTATCAGCAATAAAACTATTATATCGTGATTAAAAAGTTTATTGTACTATGTATATACTCGTAAAATAACTTGAAACTAAATCGAACCACGCAACTTTCAAGAGAATTTTTTGTAGAAAATATATTTTTTTTTTGATATTTTGTATAGGTTTTCAAAGAACTTATATGATTTTTATGTAAGTTTCAGCATGCATTTATGGCAGGTACTGTGCCTAAGGTGCCAAATAAAATAGCGACGTCAGTGTCTGTAAAGCCAATAAAAATGTGGAGGATACACATATGAAATATAGCCTTTATATGCACATATATTTAAAGTGTAACAAATATATTTTATTAATATTCAACGCTAATGTCCTTGGAAACATAGCAGCATTGGCTGATTTAGTTATACAAATAAAAAAAAACGAAAAATAATAACTTTTTCCATAAATTTTTAGAAGTTTTTCCTTAAATTTTTACTTTTTTTTTCATTGTACATTAATACATTAAAATCACCTACACACATATAACTAATATTTTAGAAAAAGTTTTTAAGAGCTTTTTGTGTGCTTTTATTTATTCTATGAATATGAAAATTAGAAAGGAATATTGTTAAGATTGCAAATAAAGATTACTTACCTTGGTAATTTTTTTCGCATTACATCCGTTCCTGCAGCAAACTTCAGCGGCTTGTAAAATAGGCGTAGTGGGCAACAAGTGATTGGTCTTGCAATCTTTTGTTACTGAAACAAAAAGTTTTCTATAATCTTGAGAAATAAATTACCTTTTTCACTTAACAAAAACAAAAAAAGTATTGGAAATAAAATCTATCTTTTACGTGTTTTTATTTAATCTAATTATGTATATTCAATATAATATAACATTTTCTTCATCGTAATTAGGTACAACTAGCTCGCGTAAATAATTAAGTCATTTTTACAAGCTTGTACAACTTGCCATATTTGTTAGTTGGTTTAGTCCCAACTTTGCAAACTGAATTAGAACAACTTCCTCCTATTGTGCCTGAGTCCATCATTTGGAATTATGCTCGTTAAGAAATGAAAAATAAAATAAAATTGTAAAAATAATAATAATTGAGAAATAAAATTGATTTAATTAAAAATTAAAAAATAATTTTAATTATAAAATAAATAGGCTGCATACTGAGAGACATACAGGTTCATATTTTATATATGACATGCCCCAAAAATGTATGTCCAAATATTTTAAATCTTTAGAAGAGTACAATAGTATCTTTTATATATAATATAGACATAAAGAGAATAATATTTCTTACACTATATCGAAAGGATTTTACAATTTTATATTTCTTAGTAGTGATGATTGAATAATGCTTTTACGTCTTTTTTAAACGTTTCAAACTTTCCTTATTTAAAAAAATAATTTTTTCTTCGATTTTTATCCTCTTTAAAGGTTAAATTCATAGAAATGTCTATACCCAAGTATTCTTTCTCCTATTCATTTTTCTTCGCAATGGCATTAGTATACTAATATGTAAAACCTAAGAATTTGGTTTTTGATCATCTAAGGGCGGGCACAGCCGCGGGCATTTCTAGTTTTATATATGTATATATTTAGAACAAACAAATCATCAGATGCTAAAATTTTCGTAAACAAATAAATATTCGACAGCTCCAAAAAGTTATAATTTATGTGGGAAATAGGAAAATATTTTCTTGTTAAAGATTTCTTGAACAAGAAGAAATAAAGTATTGTTTATATGAGCATATGCTACTAATATTCAACTTCAATATTTACGTTTCGAAGAAGTCAAGTTTGGTTTGAGAGAAAATATTCTTCAATGAAACAACCCGTCTTGTTCAATAAATCAGCCAGTATCAACTTCGATTTCGCTACTGAAAGATTTTGTTGGAAAAAAGTGGTATTAAATATTATTTATACGGGCACAAGGTAATCGAATCGAGTGAATGACTTTTCAGAACTTATTATCATAAACGTAATTGACACCATTAACCAATAATTCAAGACAAAACTTCTCTAAAAAATATATTTTTGCTCTGAAAATGTCATAATTTTTCTTCTATTAATTGGTAATTTAGATTTTTGATTGCTTTGAAACCAATAAGTAGTTTAGTTATACTTTCTTCGATTTACGCGAATATTGGATATTTTAAATAAAACTATTTTTTTGGATTTTTTCGCGGATTTATTTTGATTATTGGTTCCCGATGTTACTAATGCAGCTCATAAAAAACCTACATCAATCGGTGGTGTCAACTATCTAATTACTATCTATGTACGAGTGTGGTACAATAATTTTTAAAGTATAAAGTTTTTACTTAATAAAATAAGTTATATGAAATTAAAATTTATTCAATTAACAAATACTTTTAAACTTGATTTAAAGTTACTATGTCCGTGAGGAGACCATCACTAGCTCTAAATACAGTTCTGCCAAGAAGAGCCGATACGAAATTCAACAGTTGCATTTTTAAATATACATTTTTTATTCACCATAATAGGGATAATATAATAGTCCTACACAACAGAAGCTTCATTTAATATTACATTTGTAATGTTAGCTAGGTATAAACTTTAAAAAAGATAAATCTATCGTAGGACACTTGTGGAATTTTATTATCATTCCAGACATAATCAATAAATCAAATAGACATCCAATTTTCAAACGTTCTTTGTGGTTTAGTACTAAGCAAATAATAATATACATCATATAATTTATAGTACCTGGGCGACCGAGCTTCGTTCGCGTTTTTTTCGGAAGAGATATAAAAATTGCGCTTTTTGAGGAAATACCCTTATATATAGATACACTTAAAAAGCAAAAGCTTATCTAAACAGAAAATTCGATCCAAATGGTAAGAACCGTTTCTGAGATACACAAAATAAATTCATTTAGAAAAAGAATCAAACTTACGCGCAAAACAACTATTATATTAGAAAATATTTGATTAGGTATGTATAGTAAATGAAAACTACCAACCAGTTATTTTTTACTTTTTAGTCCTTTTGTTTGAAGTCGGTTTTTATTTTTTTGTTAAAAAGTTTTTATTTTTCCCTTTTTAGTGTAGACAGTAGTAGCAAAGTAAGAATTCTAACGTGTTAGGCTTGTCTAATCAAGTAAAATAAGCCCAAACTCAAAGTACCTACTATTAGCCGTTGAAGAGTTCCACCTATCCACCTTCTGGCCTTACCATCAGATCAGGTCAACAATACCGAACCACTGTGCTATCAACGTAAATAGAAACACTTGCAAAGTTTCAAGTCAATATGACAATTAGAAGTAGGTTAAATTCATCATTTGCTATTTTTCCACTTGGTAGGTTGTGGTATTTTTTTTTTAAATTTAAATGGAACCAATCTGGAAGTATACACTTTCAAACAACACAAAAATTGTCCAAATCGGTTAATATAAATAAATGAATTATAATGATAATGAATTTCAGTGTATAAGGCAAAAAAATATTTTTATTTAATATAATTTTTAACATTATTTCTTGTTCAGTCAATTTTCCGGTCAAAAATTATTATTAAGAAAAAACACGCGTATTTTATGTTATATTCAAATCGAATCAATTTTTGAAAATTAAAGTAATAGAGAACGTAATGGGAAATTAGAAATTGCTAACAACATTAGCATAAATTTTCATATGAAAATTATTATTTAACATCAAGTATTGTTTTAGCTGAAATGAATTCTGAAATGCGATACAGGTAATAACTATTTGTACACCCACGAATATAAGCTTCTTATAGCTTAACTAGCATTGCCCGCGGCTCCACCCGCGTTCAGATGACCAAAAACCAAATTCTTAGGTTTTACATATTAGTATACTCTTACATTCAGTTTTTATATTTTTTCTCAGAAATGAGATAATTTCCCGTAGTAAAAAGTATTCTATATGTTGACCCGAATAACCAGCTATCATCATACCAAATTTCATCAAAATCTATCCAGTGGTTTTTCCGTGATGCGGTAACAGACAGACAGACAAAAATTCTAAAAACTATAGATTCGGCCTCTGTATCGACAATAATGTCTATTTCAATCGGATTTTCCAAAAAAATATTTAATGTACAGATTCGGCTTAGTTACAATTTTATTATATGTATTATAGCTCAATAAACAATACATGTCAGAGTAATAACTTCACGTTCCAACTTCTTCTACAATAGTTGAAAATTTATTTCAACTCCAATATCAAGATTGATTTTTACAAAGTTTTGTCTCTTGCAGAACTAAAACAAACTATGCTGAAAAGTTTTCCGATACATATCTATTATCTATACTACCTCGGTGGTGTAGTGGCTAGCATGTACGGCTGCACACCCGGAGGTCCTGGGTTCGAGTCCCGGGTCGGGCCAAGTTTAGTTATTGAGTCTTCCTGTATAGTAAGTCTCAGTAACAGCCCGGAGTTGGGAAGTTGGCGGTGTTTCACCCCCGTGCCTCGAAGAGCACGTAAAGCCGTCGGTCCTGCGCCTTAACTCTCACCGGTCGTGTCGAGTGGTCGTCCCACCGGAGTATGAGAGTGATAGGAATAGAGAGTACACTTGTGTCTGCGCGTACACTTGAGCACTATAATATCTCCTGCGCAGTTGGCTAATCTCATTGAGATTGGCCGCCGTGGCCGGAATCGGCTAGGAGAACATCATCATCATCATCATCATCATTATCTATATATTATTATCCACAAAATACAATACTAGTAAAAAAAATTGAGTAAAGTGAATATTTATGATACATTAGCGACTCACCCTCGCTCCGCTCGGGTTTTCCCTACTTACGTTTTAATATTTTCTATAGATTTCTCAGAGATGAGATATTTTCTCGCAGTAAAAATATCCTATATGTTGACCCGAATAACCAGCTATCATCATACAAAATTTCATCAAAATCCCTCCAGTGGTTTTTGCGTGATGCGTTAACAGATAGACAAACAGACAGACAAAAATCCTAAAAACTATAGATTTGGCCTCTGTATCGATAATAAGGTCTATTTCAATAAGAGTTTCCAAAAAATATATAATGTACAGATTCGGCTTAGTTACAATTTTATTATATGTATAGATTATTGAACGGATTGGAATGAAACTACAGCTACGGATAGACAATGTCCTGGATTAAAATGGAAGGAACTATTATTTTAAACAAAAACTATATTATTTCTTAAAAAACGCATTTGTTATCCTGTGATATGAAAGCTAGCTAGCATCGTTCTAAATTCTTTTATATTATACATGTAATAATATGAAGATTTTCGTATTACCTAGTTGGATAGACTTCTTACATAGATAAAACATGTCCAGGACTAATATATAATACTATTTCTAATATACTAGAATTCAAGAAAAAAATTCGTTAATTAAAAATGTGCATTAAAAGTTAAATATGTCTAAAAGTCCACAAATAATATTAAGCTCAAAATCGAGTGGAAGCTGCCGTCGCAAATTGAATCAGTCTTTGATTTAAAATACTCGTGAAGGGCAAATAAAATAAGGCATTAAACATTTTTTTCAATATATTTCATAATAGCTTTTGTAAGCGTCTTTGCTCGCACAGTTTATTTATTGCTAAATATCGTAGTGTGACGTTAGATACTTGCCTTAATAAATCCCATCCGTATTAATATTGTAAATGTGAAAGTTTGTGAGTATGGATGTTTGTTACTCTTTCACGCCAGAACGGCTGAATGGATCTGGATGAAATTTGGCACAGAGATAGATTATTGTCTGGAATAGCACA